CTGTGAAAGTATTGAATAAAATTGCTAGTTACGTCAAAATCAATTTTGCCAAGTTTATTTTTTAAATTACTTGTACCAAGTGTGATTTTTTAGTAGTTTTTTTACTTACAGATGATTAACAGACTCATTAAACTATTTTTTTTCGAATCAGAATGTGTATAAATTTATGTAAGAAAAATCTACATCTATCATTAAAAATGAGAAGTTTAATTTTCAATTTAAAATTGCCAACCATTGTGAAGCATATTAATTAATTATACATTCGTAATCATCACCAAGCGCTTGTAAGTAAAAAAGATTTAAAAAAATTTAGAAGCATTATGCAACGATAGTTATATTCATAATTAGATCGTTGCAATATCAGCTGACACTTTAATTGTCGTAACATCAAAAATACAAATTAAAAAAAAAAAAAAAATTTGCAAGCATGTTAATCATTCTATTCTCATTTTGTGATTATCAATTTTAAATTGTCATTATTTATATTTTAATCTTATATTTTTGTGATACAATCTTCTATTGAAATAAAAAAAATCTTTAATTTATACATTACAATTTTCTCAGAAAAATGCTGAAGATATTTCTGTTTTTTTTTAATTATTAGACAACACAAGTATGGCTTTTTTAGAAAGGAGTATATATAATTAAATTTCATGCTAATGAATATAATACAATACAAATGTCGGGATTTTTCAGAAGTTTTAATTATCAACTATAATTAAAATCATATCTGTCTGCTGTGAATGTGATATCTTCCTTTCTTCTTTTTATTTTACATCAGTGCATCATGCAATGCACGATACTTTTCTTACTGGTATCTTAATGGACATTAATCGTACACAAGACGAGAGTGTTTTATCTTTTAATTACTTTCAGCGTCAAATTAAAAATAATTATAGATTCTCGAAAGAATAAGAAGTACATATAAAATAATTTTAAAAATAGTACTAACTTTTATATAAAAATATAATTATATATCATAATATTAATTATATAATTAATGTTTTATAATTATTAATAATTTATTATATAATTAATATTTTAAATTTATATTGTTAATAATATAATTTTGCAACTATTATATATGCATATATTACATGTAAAATTTGTGCCATGTTGAATAGATTTTCCCGACGTGGACAATTAATTCTATTTTTATCAGTAATCATCGATGTGTAAAATACCACAAAATACCGAAAATACCAAAAACCTAAATCGATAATGTTGTTTGTACTGTGATAGACAATTTTTATTTGTCAATAGATAGGAAGTTTGTTATCTATCGTATCTTGGATCGTATGGCTTTATAAAGATGCTCATTCCCTAACATCCTCCATCACGTTACTTATTATTTCGTTGTGCTGTCGTTTTTGTGCGAATAAAGTTTATCTCTCGGGGACATTATATAATCTATCAATAAGCATACATATGTCATTTGAAAGCTACTTGGAACTTGCCAATTTGTATACTCTTCAATCAAATTGTGAGAACCGTCTTCCGCTGAGATTTGACCGAAATTAATTGTGCTATTGTACAGCAATATCGTGTCGAAAACGATTTAACTACGCTACGTTTGAAGTCCTTCCTTTGCCGCCATCATTATACGCAGGAGGGAATCTATATGGAACGTTTCGTACAAATAATTCGTAACCAGTTAAGTGCAGAACCATTTCGTTTGTAACACAATTCCCAGGGTTGGGTAATAACTGGTTAAAGAGTTAAAAAAAATTAAAAAGTTAATAACTTTTAATTTAGCTTAGTTAATTTAAAAAGTATTCATTTTTAACTTTAAGTAATTATTTTTGACTTTAAGAAGTTTTTTGACCTTAAATTTATTAACCTTTTTCCCAAGTTAAATTTTTAAAGCTCTGAATACCATTGTTGTTTTTTTTTCATAAATTATAAACGTATTATTTTTAAATTAAAGTAAGTATTATTAATTTTTATGTTCATTTGTTATCAATTGTAATTATAAAGAAAATATATTTCTATATAAAAATCAAAATTTCTTTGTTATTATAAATTTTAACAGAATAAAATTAACAAACAAAATTCTAATTTAATATAAATAATGTTTTTAAAAATTAACTCAAGAGACACTCGTGGTTTTTTCTTTAAATTAAATTCTGTCCTAGTAGAAGTTCGCTTGTTGCTCATTATTTGGGGAATTTTAACAATCTCAGCTTCTTGATAAAAATCATTTATATGTAATTTGCTCAAAAGTTTCTATCGATAATCATTTCATTAAAGAATGTAATAAATAAATAATAAATAACAATTAGTAAATAATAAATAGTATATACATAAATCAATAATAAATAATAAATATAAAATAAATAATAATTATATAATAAAAATAAAATTATATAAAAATTATATAATAAAAATAATAAATATTATAATAAAAAACAATAAATATATATAATAAAAAGTGATAGGCATGAGTTTCTCGAGTTAACGCAAGTGATCGAGGAAAATGAGGCGCAGAAAGTCACGTATACACAAGATAATTTCTCGTTCGTTTTATATACGAACCCTCCAGCCTTCTCCTCCCCCTTGATGTTGTTCTCGTTGAAGCCCCCGCGACCGCTTTTCTCCCTAATTATTTCATAGTGGATGACCGAGTTGGACGCGCGTCCCCTCCGCGAAACGCGGATATTGTCGCGTTTTAGAACGCAAGTGTGTCGTTTAATCGATGCCCTCCCCCGCAATCTACGACGCTGTCCGATTAATCGCCGGATTTTCCGCCAGGGGCGCGCTTGATTGTTGTCGTCTCTATTTGATATGGGCGAAAGATTCTGTGGATTTACACGATAAAATTTATACAACACATATTACAGGATATACATTTTTTTGTAGAATATATACAGAAGAAAGAATTTGCTTTATTTTGATTTTTTTAATATTATTTTTTATGAGTATTTTATTTGAAATCCTAGAAAATAAAACTTGATTATCGGATTTGACTCAGATTTTTAAATATACATATTGAACTTGATATCATCTCTGATTTCAGTAACGTTGGAATAAAATTGAAAAGAGATATTTAAATAAATCTATCTCAAGTAGCAAAATGAGGTCATTAGACGTCAAAATGACGTCCTTCGACGCTTAATTGCTATCTAGGATATTTTTTAAAAAACAAAATTTTACAGACAGATTTGTTAAACATAGATTTGAAAAATTTCGAACAAATGTTTAAATTACAAAATCTGACTCTTATATCATTTTTCAAGATTTGAAATTTTGAAAAAATATCGATGAAACTTATCTCATATAAGAGAAAAATTTTCGAGATATTCTGTATTTTAAGCGAGATTGTACAACTTTTTGCTCTAATTAAAAATTAGCGCGTATTATTTTTTCGGTTTTATTCATCAAATGTCGTTTTGCCTGTTTTAAGATGTTAAGAAAAAAGAAAGGATTCCGATGATTTAGAGCTGCATCCGCATTCGAGATAGGCCGTGAAAGAATCAAGCCGCGGATCCAACAGGTGGTCGAAATAATTTCTCGCGACACACACTAGCGGGAAAAAATTCAAAGGACAATAAAAATGTTCTTTGTTTTTTAAGCCGATAATGACACATATGATCAGCGTTCGCTGTTATCTAAATAAAATTATATAGATGATCATCTAGATAAAACTTTGGCGCCATCTTACCTTTATATAAATAATAAAAATATGTATTATTTATATTTGTCTTTACTAAATCTAGAATAATTTTCAGATGATTTTAGTTTAGAATCATAGCACATAAAGTACTTAAGGGGTTATACTTACCTTTAAGGTCGAAAAAACATGTATTTTAGGAATTTTTTTTAAACTAAAAGATTTTGTAAAATATAAATCGTTATAACCCCTTAAATAGTAGAATTTAAGTAGTAATATAGAAATTTATAAATAAAAATATGAATACATATATTTTTACATCTTTTTATAATTAAAATTTTTTGTAACTGTGTTTACATAAGCAGTCTTAAAAATTATTATCTAGAATCTAGAAAATTATCTAGATGAATCGCCTTTTATTTTTCTTTTATCTAAATATATTTAAAACAAAATATGAATTTACATATATATATTTTATAAATTAAACTTCGGCTCGTATACAATTAAAATATGTGATATAATAAAAGGCCAACTTAACGAGCTTATATGCTATTAATTGATCACAGATATCGAATTGTTTTTTAAAAAAGTACACATTGTGATTATGTTAAGTAAAAAGAAATAATTTTTTTAAAAAAAGTGTTATGTTCGTGACAAAAAATGTCGTTACATAATATAACAGCATCTGACGCTCTAACTCATGCCAACAAACATGAATTTTGTACTGCGTTCGTCATATAATCTCATAAATGTTGTATTTATAATAAGGTCGATATGACTAAATTAATTTTTTGACACATTATTAGGATATTGTAAAGACTGTCGTACAGTCGAAACATTTATCTTAACTTTTGTATATTATGACGTAAATTAATAAATGAATTTACATATTTTTATCTCATTTTTATCCAGTTAATTTTTAAATCATCTAAGCACAACATTTCATATGAGCGCGGCGATGTAATGTGAGTGCGTGTTCCATTTCGAAAATATATTACATTTGTCATTTCTCAGTATTTCTCGAGAATTAAAAGCCTAAGAGTCATATACGTAATTACGTCATTTACGTAAATTTGCTAAAGCTAAATGCTAAACAGTTCAATAAAGATAGCGTCTGTCAATGTTCAAACGTGACTAAACGTGACGTTTCTACATCTCTTCGCAATATAAGCGACATTGACGGTTATATAGAACTGATACAAATCTCACGTCTTTCCCATTTTGCAATCTCAAAAATTGCTGATATTTTGTCTCTAGACTTTTAATTAATATTTTCGAAAAATTTGAAATTTTTTTAGATAATTACACTATTTTATAAAAGAAAACATTTTTTCATTATTTTTAATTAGACAAATTTCTTATAGATTTTTGGATGCTGAAAACGATGCTGCAAACCAATTTTGAGCACATCAGGTTTCCGAAATAATTGAAGTTTAATATGCAAAGAATAGTTTTTTGCAATATTTAAGATTTTTTCATAAAAAAATTAACGTTATCTGGAAAGTCTAATTAAATATCATAAATGTATTGTTCATATTATAAAACACATTTTTTTATTTTAGTAGCTTACTTTACACATTAAACCTCAATTATTTTAGAAATCTGACATGTTTGTGAAATTTGATTTGCGACATCATATTTGGCGGCACTCAATAATTTATCTAAGAAACACTTTGTCTGGTTTAATATAATTTTTGGCTGTAAACTAGTGTCATTTTTATGCGATAGAAAATTTTTTGATATTTGCATTAAAACGCGTAAAAAAATAATACGGCGGAACCATCATTTTTCGATATCATTTACATATAATAAAGCTTAATGTTTCGAAAGGGGAGGAGGGAAGATCAAGTGTGCCAAGGGCAGCCAGATGCCATTAAGAGGTCGGTTCCTGTTGGAAATTCAAACGGCGTTTGAGCGCGTTAGCGCGATAGGAATCCCGACACATTTCCAATCAACTAATATTAATCACCGTTATATTTGTGACGAAAAAAACAGCTGTCTCTGCATCATAAAGGTGCGTCATTCAATATGCGCGAATTATACGATAAAAAAAGTTACCTGATAACGTATCCGGCGATAAAATTGCACCCGACAAAACAAGCTTAATGTTTACCGACGAAGCGTAATTTGATTAAGTCTCCGTGTTCTCGAAACGTAACGATCCGCAGAACGCTCTGATATCATTTTACGAGAAAAATACACTAAAAAAAAATAATAAGATTTGCGTCTCTCGTGACTTGCGGTGGAAAACCAATATCGCGGATAGCAAAACGTGCGAGAGAAGTCACGTATTGCAGTACGTTGCTCCCTGTCTTTTTTTGGACTTTGCTGATCGGCGAAATTAGGTCAGATAGGTACATAATAATTTATTACGGCATTAAACGGTCCAATATGATGTGTGCGATCGTGGCACAGAAGTTTGAATGTTCACCCAAGTAGAAAAATCAAAATGATGTCAATTTGATGTTATACTGAATATATTTGGAGCCCATTAATATCTGTTCTTTTTAGCTGAACTGACTGCAGTAGTCCAGAATTTATCTTTTTTCCCTCTAATGTAAAGTGCAGTATAGTTAAAAAGAGCAGATCTATAGAAAGCACTCAAGTAGAATTATTAATCAAATTTGGAGTCCAAATTTGGATACCAAATTGACATTATTTTGACTTTTCTGTTCTACTTGGGCGCTTTCTATTTCTAGGTCTATTCTTTTTAAACTGAACTAGCTGTACTTTATTTCACATTAGAAGGGAAAAGATAAATTCTGGACTACTGTAGCCAGTTCAGCTAAAAAGAACAGATCATATATTCGAAGATTTGGGTTCAATTCCCGGGTTCAGAAATCCACTTTTGTTCCAATTTTAGTAGGTTTCAATCAAGAGGTCTGTTCTTTTCAGCTGAACTGGCTGCACTAGTTCAGAGTTTATACTCCTCTTACTGGAAGGAAAAAGATAAACTCTGAACTAGTGCAGCCAGTTCAGCTGAAAAAAACAGACCCAAGTATAGAAGAAACCCTCTTTTGTTGGAACTATTTGATTGTCACCTCTCGGTAGGCAAATGCAAGTTACTTAGAAGAATATTTTATCATAAGAACTAATAGACTGTTTGAAACCATAAAATGCAAACCCCATATACGTAATCCAGCAGTGAATTAGATCCCATCTCCATAAAATGAAAAGAAACCTATAAAACCTATTCGCGTTATATCTATCTATTATACAACTCTGATGATTTTTCTTGAATCTTCTTTTTCCCAGAGGTCCACGGAACAGCTGACAAGGTGCAGCACGATAACCCTGTCGGAGGAGGCTACGCAAAACACCGGTGACGTAACGACTACTCGTACTGTGTCCGAGCAGATCATGGGTGTTTGTCGAAAAGCCATACGCTGGATTTATATGTTGGATCTGATCTTGATGTTATCAGGTAAATGGCTAAAATTGCACAATTTCAAATTTTATTGACACAAATGAAATATGGTTTATTTCTTACGTCGCTCGCTCTCATTTTCACTTTGCGATAAATTACATTAGTTTACAGTCAAACATTATTTTACACCAGGTAAAGTGTTTCTTACAGATTTTTTATTGAAAACAAAATTAAAATTAGCACGTCAGATTTCCAAAATAATTGAGGTTTAATGTGTAAAAAATGCTTTTTTGCGATATTTGAGATTTCTTGTAAAAAAAGTTAACATTATCTAGAAAGTCATCAGATCAAATATCAAAAATGTATTTCCATATCTTATTTTTAGCTATGTTATGAAAGATTAAGCTAGGAATTACTTTTCATATGAAGATGCTCCTAAGAAAAAAAGATTTTTCGGAAAAAAATTATTTTCCAAAATTGATTTTATCAATTTTTTAGCCTCTTTTTAGAATATTCAACTTTTATCCATATACATTTTTTTAAAGTAAGATATCGAAATAAAAAAAGTTTATTTTATAGGGGATGAACAATACATTCATGCCATCAGAATTTCCATATAATGTGCAATATAATGTAATCTTTTTCGCAAAAAATCTCAAATATCGCAAAAAAGCCATTTTTTGCATATTAAACTTTAATTATTTTGAAAACCTGATGTACTGATTAAAATTGGTTTGCAACATCGTTTTCAGCATTCAAAAATCTATAAAAAATTATTTGATTTAAAATAATGAAAAATTTTTTTGTAAACTAGTATTATCATCGTCCGCATTTCAGATTACAGGATCAACAAAGCGAAAAAATTCTTGTTTATTATTTATTGCGCTATCTTGCGAAAGTTTCAATCAATTTCTTGGCAAAAATTCGCAAAATCGCTTCTCGATATTTTGTTAAACGAGATATTTCAGTTGCGCCAATAATAATGACGCATTTTACTCGAAATTTGCAAATTAAAGTTTGTGGAAATAATCATTTCATTGCGTATAATTCCCGCAAATTGAATTTTGAAGTTTCGTTTATTGTACTCCCCTTGATATATCGTGAATGTAATTTCACGTTACACGGCGAAATTCCGTAAAACGAGTTCGAGGATTATTCATATTCAACATACATAGGATATTTAATGTTTTTTCAGGTCATGCACATATGTGCATATACAAGTGTATATACACTTGTATCAATTTCGATTGCGTGATTAGCAAATTTCTTTTCGACACTCTCTCGCTCTGGCTTTTATCTCCCTTATCTACTCAATTTTATTTTCTTTATTTTCATTAAACTTTTTTTTCTTCATTTAAAAAAAATGTTGTTAATAATTCTTTATTTTATTTTCTTTTGTCAAAAAATTGTATATATTCTTAAAAATATGAGGTATAACATATATTTTATCCAAAAATAGAAAAATTTTATTTTCTCAACAATTCAATTTTAATTATATTTACATGTTCATTTTTCTTATAAAAATGTAGAATATTCGTATATTTGAATTTTCTCAGAATATTGTTATATATCTTAAGATTTTGTCATTATATTTATAAAAAATTATTGTGAACTTTATTTTTTTATAATATAATATTAGATAATAATTATTAATTTTATTATGTATTAATATACTAACAATAAATAATTTTTATTATACATATATATACATATATATTATTTAATATAACATTATTATATATCATAATATACTTTATTATATATAATTTAATATATTAAAAATATGACTTAATATTAATATAAATATAAATAAAAAATAAAATAAAGGAATGAAATTTCAAGAAAGTTCGAATTTTACGGTCACTTGCACACTTCGGCTGAGCATTTGCGGGATGCAAATCACCCTGTTTCTATTTGAGTAACGCGGATAATAATGGCTGAGACTTACCGAATCTCGTACTTGAAGTCCATTCCACTAATTAGGCGCATAGCGCGGGCTTTTATTAGCCCCTATAAATATTCACCGCGAAGCCGGTGAATGCGCGCATGTGTCTCTTTACGCCAGACAGGAGGAAGTGTTAGCTTGTTAACCGACGCTTATTGCATTAGCAAGCAAACCGCGAATAGGCGGAACTGACATGCCGCGCATTCTTTCCGAACAGTACACGTCCGCGAAGAGCGCGAAATCTTGCGGCAATTCACGCCCTGTTATGGTTAATTTAATTGTAAAAAAAAACACAAAATAAAATTATTCTTTATTATGTATTTAGCAAAATAATCCATTAATTTGAAAAAATTAGGTGGTATAACATCTATTTTATGCAAGAATAGAAAAATATTATTTTCTCATAAAAATTCAATTTTAATTATATTTATATATATATTTTTTTTTTATCAAAAACGTAGAATATTCGAATATTCCAATTTTCTCTTCAGAATATATTGTTGTTATACATATATATTAAGATTTTATTATTATATTTATAAAAAATTTATTGTGAACTTAATTTTTTATTATGTATATTAATTAATAGATATAACATTATTATATATCATAATATATATATAATATACTTATTATATATTATGTAATATGATACCTATTAAATGACTTAATATTAATATAAATATATTATAAATTAAAAAATTAAATATAAAGAAATAAATATAATAAATGTAACAAATAATAGAAATATAAATAAAAAAAATAAATACACATTTTATGTAATCATATTATTTTATCAACAAAAAAGAGACAGAAAAATGCATCCTATACATTTTTCCGCACTTCTAATCAATTATTTTGGTGTTAAACCAAGGAGGTAGAAAAAAATGCAAGAATTGAAATCGACCGAGAGGGACTTTTTTTCTCTCGCTTATGAGAACGCAGTCTTTTGCATGGAAGCACATTTACGGGGATGAAACGACGCGTGTAATGAAGCCTGACAGGGAAACCGCGAAACTGTGTAACGCAATATTACGAACGACTGTTTGACTAGAATTTTTACGTATGCGGGCGTGTCACACTCTCTTTGTATAATGCAATATATATTACGGATGGCTGTTTTTAACTAGAATTTTTACGTACGGAGGCGTGTTGCTTTAAATATCTCTGTGCAATTGTTGCGTAATGATGGCGATGAGTATCTGCACGTATAGTAATTGTAAGAAAACAATCGTAAGCGAATGTTATTTGAAAGATCTCTTAGAACTTGGAAAGAGCACAAAACAATCCATTAATTCGAAAAAAATTATGTGTATTTATAAATTAGGAGAAATAAAAAATAAAGTATAACATAGTATATTTTATGCAAGAATAGAAAAATATTTTCTCATAAAAATTCAATTTTAATTATATTTACGTGCTTTTTTTATCAAAAATGTAGAATATTCTGATTTTAAAAGTATATAATGTATTTAAAAGTAATGTATACGATAAAATTAATATTTATATATATAATATAGTATATATAATTTATATTATATATATATATATATATATATATATATATATATAATTAATATAAATAAATATTCTACTTTTTTATGTCGGTTGGTAAAATCCTCTAAACTCATAGCAAGAGAGGAAAAATGCATTTGAGGTATCCAACGGGCTTTAACCTCATCTTAACTGATTATATCGTCGTTGCATTAGTATGAGTATGTTGTACTCTCCCCCGCAACGTTCACGACATTTACACATGTGTTCCACTCATTGTCCGTTTCGTCTCTTCAGATTCTCACATATGCAACGAGTGTATATATGACATGGTTAGTCAGTCTCGGATTAAGGAGGACTCGAGGCTCATTTCGGTTTAGGGATTCTCCTAATCGCGTAAATATGCACGTGTAAATGTACATGCGGAAATGTCCGAGATTTTGACCAATTTTTCTACTGATAGTATATATATACATATATGCATATATAATTTTATATTACCATAATAAAATATTACCAGCTTATCCATATACATATTTATATTTAAAAAATTTTTTTTAAATTTAAATAAGTTTTATTTTAATTTATACACACATATATGTTATAAATTAAATATATAAATTTTATATATATAATAAATATATTATGTGTATTAAAAATATAAAATATATTTATATATAGTTATTTATTAATAATCAAGACCATATAAGAAATAGTAAAATATAATTTTTTTCGCACAAATTTCGGTTATTAATAATATTAATAATTATTAATAATAATTATATACCTATATTTTACATTTTGACAAATTATAATCGTCGTATTTTTTACGCTAATTTATAAATACATACATATGTATGTGTGCATAAAACTAATATAAGAGAAATACGATATCTTTAATTATATGATTATTTATTATTTCATATAAAAATATGCGTATATATTAATAGTAATTAATTTGAACAATTTCGACGACGACGTCGAGTTGTCATGATTTACATAGTTACGCGTTGAAATAGGAATGAATCACGATGTTGCATTTTCAGTCTATTTGTTTTTTTCTCTACGTCATGATGAGACATCTCTTATTGCTGCGAAAATATGACAGAGTACTTAATCTTTCTAATTTGTCTTCATTACATGTATATATTACAGTAATTTGCGAAAGACCAAAGTTATCGCAAAAATGTAGCATTTTATTGTTGATGAAATAAATAAATTAATAAATATATATATATATATATATATATATATTATATATATATTATATATATACTTAAAAAAATTTGTTAACTTGACTAAACCTTTCAAATAAATATTATTTTGTTAATTGGACATATAAAAATATTTAAATTAAACATAACATTAAATATAACACAAAAAGGCTACGATAAAATCAATTTTCTTGAGTTGTAAATTGTTTTCACAAACCCTTTCTAAAAGGTTTCTAAACTTTCACTCTCACCACCCTCTTGCTCACAAATGAGGCGTTGTTTTTGGCTTGATTGACAGGGCTTTAACAATTTTGGACACTCGGTTCCAGAAAAAAATGTAAATTTTATAATTAAAATCCTCCTTGAGAATCTTAATCCTTTACCTTTAATTTTTTCGACATTTA